TCGTCCCTGCTGCCAAGGCAGAGCATGTGGCAGTTCCCCAGCTGAAAACAGTGCTCAGAGCGTGTGGAACAGCAAGGCAGGGCTCTCCAGCAGGACGGTGCCTTCCTCCAGAGGCAGAGGGGTGTGTGGTGTCACTGGCTGGGGCTTGCAGAGAGGAGGGAACTGCGGGTGGGCAGGGTGCCCGTCCCCAGTGCTTGGATGTGGGACCTCCGGGGCTCCCTGCAGCAACCCGAGCAAACAGCCAGGCTGGCAGGGCTCCTGGCCACGGGCTGGCAGTTGCCTGGGGTGTGCCATGAATGACAAGAGCTGTTTGAGAGGCAGGGATGAAGATTCCTGACTCTGTTGCCTAGGGACCCGGCTGAATCTGAATGGTCGTGGCTTTATTCTCAGCTGCAGGGGGCACAGGGAGGGAGCTGCTGGGTGGCCAGAGGTTCTGAATGCTCAGGAATTGTCAGTTTTCCAGGACTATGGCTATGGACTTAGTGCAACAAGGCACAAAGTCAAGGCAGAGCATTGCATGACCACTATCCTCTTTGGGTCCAGATTCAGAGATCTCTGCCTCAGTGTGAAGAATGAGCATTGGAGACTTTGGGCTAGAAATGCAGGTCATCATTACCTGGTTACTCTGGGCCAGCATCAGCAGAAAATGTGGGGCTTGTTGCTGTCCCTGTGGGTGCAGCAAGAAATCAAGAACCATCCCCATCCCCTGTGCACTTTGTGGAGGGCTCTGCACTTGCTGGGCTCTGAATCACTGTACCTGGTGTAGTTCCATTATCTGGGACTCCTGAGACTCTAAGTTAAAACAGCAGAGATAGTGAAACTCCTGAGGAGATGACAGGAGATGGCAACCCAGCTTCCTTCCAGCCAGAGGAATGTGTCTGAGGGGCCATTTCCCAACCTCCAGCCCGGGATCTGTGGCATGGACAAGCTGGAACCTGCCCAGGCAGTTTGGGCTTTTAGTCACACGAGTACATTTTGCTCAGTGGGGCACAGCCCCTGCCTGACACGGTTTTAAGTGTAGAACCCCTCCTGGCTGGCTTGGTGGGGTCTCTGTTTTTCCAGGAGAGGCAGTGCTGCTCTCCTGCCTCTCACTGTGATCCCAAGGGGCCGCAGGGAAGCACCAGCTGCTTCCTTCAGCCTCCAAACCCAGGTCCACTCAGAGCAGAACTCTTCTTTCTTGCATGACCAGAGAGACAGGAAAACAAACACGGAATTTAAAGCATAGTTAACCAAGACAGGACATGATCTTTTGGCTGTTAAATCCTTTCTACTCTACGAGTTCCAGGTCCCATGTAAATCAGGCATGTGTTCAGGTCCAAGTTCCAGGTCCCGTGTAAATCAGACGTGTTCAGGTCCCAGCCAAGAGCTCAGGGACCTCTGGGAGTGGATGTCTCCTGTCAGCATCTCCGTGTGAGACAGGGAAGTCTGAGCAGCTGCTTTTCTCCTGGAAAAGCCAAATGCTTGATGAGGCAGCACTGTGACTCCAAGTTGCTCCCATTTTGATCCCTTCAAAACCCTGCCTGACAGGATCCTGTGTCCTCTGCTCTTCCCTGGCCTGAAGCACCAGAGCAGCAAGGGCAGGAGGTCCTCAGAGCTGTTCCTCAGCTCTTCAGGAGCAAAAGCCTGACAGTTCAGGGGGCCAGGGAGGTGTTAACGGGTGCCCCTTCTCTCAGAATCCCCCCTGAAAGGGAGGAATCCTCACCTGGCATCTTGCCAGAGCAGCCAATCTTCTTGTGCTGTAAAGTGAAGAAACAGCCTGAAAACAGCAGCTGGTTGCGTCAGGCAGGATTTACTGGCCCTGAACCCACAGCCCCACCTCTGGCACGGGTGGCATGTTTGTGCTGGATGGAGGCCAAAGAGCGGGAAGAAGGATGAGGGGATTGAAAACCTAAACCTTGAAGGGAAGGAGGATGGAGTGTCCAGCCACTCCATAACGTTGCCATGCTCCTGGTGGAGTGAGAGCCCCCATCTGGAGTTTTTTAATGGATCGTTTCTGCCAAGAAAGTCTAAACGGGAGGGATTTGTTTCCATCCCACGCAGGGCTGAGTGTTAAGTGGAGGTAACTGAGATGGTATTTCCCTGTGTGAAGGACCAGCCTCTGCTCCACCCACAGACAATCCCTTCAGCTCCAAAATACCTGCCTGCCCACCAGTGTAGCTCTCGCCGTTGTTAACCAGTTGCTAACCAGTTCTTAGCCAGTGCTTTCCAGGAGGTTAACACTTTTCCAGCTCTCCTGAAGCCCCAGAGTTGCAGGGGAGAGACAGAAGTGCCATTTGGCAAGGGCTTGGTTCCTGGCTCTCTGCTGCTGCTTCCACCCACCCTTGGGGGCCACGCTGAGCTCCCCTCACTGCACCATCTGAGCCTCTTTGGAGAGTCCTTTGGCCACTGATCCCTGCCAGGGCCAGAGGATTTCACAGCTGTTTGTTGCAGTGCTGAGGAGGAGAGTGGCACTCCTGAGGCTGGTGAGGAGCAGAGGGGAGGAAGAGAAGCACTTTCCTCCTGGGAGGAGGCAATCCTGATGCCAAGACCTCTCCCTGTGGGTTGCCAGCCAAGTAGGTGGCTTGTACCTCTTCCAGGGGAGGGGAAAGCACAGAGCTGTGGCTACGTGTGCTCAACTGTCTTTGTGCAGCCAGAGGCTATAACCAAGCCCTTGTTGCTCTGCCCTGCTGGAACACCCGTAGTGGGCAGGGAGCTCTAGGAATCCATGGCAGGATCTGCAGGTCAGAGGTTCAGCTCTGCTGGGTGATGTGGTGATGAAACTGCACGTTGCTGTGGGCATGCAGGGAAGCTTTCTGGACTTCACTCTGATTTTCTGCCCAGCTCTGAGTGCCAAGTTTCTGGGTGTGTGTGTCTGCAGCAAGGGCTGGGTCAGGCAGAGCTGGCTGCAATCCATGTACCTCCCACCCCTGCCTCCTCCCTCCTGCCATCTCCTGCTTGGTCACCTCCAGGTAGTTTTGATGTTCTCCATTTCTGAAGGCTCCTTCTGATTTCTCCTGTAGTTTCATCACGGGCTGGATATGCCTCTGCCCTCTCAGCAGCACCTGCTTCAGGAGAGCAGCTCCTGTACTGCCTTGGCCTCCTGTTCACGTGCCTGTTGACAGGCAGTGTGTGTGTGTGAGCACCCTGGTGCTCCTCCCGTGCACACCTGAACAGTGACACACACACTGCCTGTGCCCCTGACTCACACATGTCCCTTCAGTCCCCAGTGTTGCCATCTCATCTCTGCCCCTTGGAGCAGTGCCCCAGCAGCCCCCAGCTCCTCCCTGCCAGCCCTGCTGCCAGCCCTGGGCTCTCTGCAGGGGCAGAGCTGTTTGCAGGAGCTGTCTCCTTGGAGCAGCTCATTCTGTGGGAGCCCTTCCATTCAGCTCCCTGCTGCCTGGTGGTTTTGGCTCCCACACCAGGCTCTGGCACTCAGCTGCTCAGCATCCCCACCTCCCTCATCCCTTCACTGATGGAGGAGCCCAAAAGGGCAGGCAGGAATCTCTGGCTCAAGGCTTTTTCTCCCTTCTTGCACCTCCAAAGCTGTCAGCAAGCAGGACGGTGCTGAAAAGAATTCCAGCTTCATTGTTGGTGTTTCAGCTATTGCCAATCTCCAAGAGGGGTGGAAGGAGGAGGAGTCCCCTGTCTGTGCTTCCCACACAGCACTTTAAATGAAACAGTAAGAAAATGGGTCAAATGGAGTGGGACTCCAGCCCCACCCTCAGGAGCATGTTCCCCCTGGCACGTAGCATCTCTCTGCACTAGTGGGGCCCTTTCCCAGACATCTTGTCCCAGAGCCTTCTGAGGTGCTGCTCCTAGGGCTGCCTGGGGAAGGAGGTCAGGATGTGTTCAGAAAAGCAGGAAAACATCGTATTGGCCAGCTTTTTAAAAAGTGATCTAGGGAGGAGTCCCTCCACTCCAGGCTTCCCTGCCAGCAGGGGGGTAAATCAGGGAGCTGCTCTGCCCAGCCCTGTGTGGACTGTGGCCCCGGAACCCAGAGGCAGCCAGTGCTGAGGAGCAGCCACTGCTCCAGGGGGACCAGAGCCAGCAGGTTTTCTCATCAAGTTGCTTTATCATTTCATCCTTTTCCACAGACAGCTCATTTTTCTTCCAGGCATTGCCATTGTCTTCAGATGAGATAAACCTGCAAGCTGTTCCAGACCCAGAAGTTGCTCCTGACCTTGGCAGTTGCCAAGTCTGGCTCAAAGTTTTCCCCTTTTCCTGGGAGTGATGCACATGAAGCTGGAGCAGCAGCTCTGGGTGGCAGAGGCTGCTCCCTGGCACAGGGCACAGCTGACCTGCTGGCTCAGGCTGGTGAGGAATGTTCCCAGCTCCTGGAACAGGTCCACTTCTAGCCTGGAGCAGCAAGTACTGAGGATCAGCCCGGAGTTGTGTAACCAGAGGTGTCAGTGCAGGCTGGGCCAGCTCAGAGCCCTTTGCTTCTGCAGCAAGTGAGAGCAGGATCCAGGAGCTGTGGGTTGGACTTTTGGCTGTACCCTGAGTCCTGTGCTGGAACTCCTGCCTCTTCCCACTTTGCAGTTTCTCTGTGCTGGGTTAGTAGCCTGTGCCTGGAAAGGCTCTGGACAGGTGTGTAGGGTGGGGCAGGGCTGGGGGAGTGTGAGGGGTGCTCAGGAGCCAGGGCTCCCTCTGCTCCTGCAGTGCCAGCTCCAGCCCATCTCTAGGGGTGTTTCAGCCCAGTTCTCCAGCCCTGTGGCCTCCCTCTCCTCTCCCAGGACTGGCTTTTTGCTCTGAGAGACACGGAGGCTGTTCTGGCCATCCGAGGCCCAGGCATGTGAATGCAAAGGAGGAACAAAAAGTTGCTGCTGTTCTTCCTCCCTGTGCTCTGTCACCCAGATGCTCCAACTCCACCTTTGCAGGTCTCTCAGCTGTGGGGTGGGCTCCTTGCAGTGACCTTCTTGTGCAGCACCTGGATCAGCAGCTGTGACATCCCAAATTGAGGCTGAGCCGAAAGCAAGCACTGGGAGACCAACAATTCAGTGCAGGGCACAATCCTGCCATTCGGCTGGAGGATCCAGCAACATTCTCAGGGAATTCCGAGGCCAGGCACAAGACCACCAGGTTTCCTGGCAGATGTCTGTGCAGGGCTAGGCTCACACCACCTCACTAACCCACCTCTCTCTCTCTTCCCTTGCTTAGGTCCTCAGAGGTCCAGCTCCAACTCCGAGGGCGACCTCCTCTTCCTGCTAGACAGCTCTGGCAGCGTCTCCTACTATGAGTTTTCCAAAGTCAAGGAATTCATGTGGGACCTTGTGCAACCTTTCAGCTTTGGCCCCAAAGATGTCCAGACCAGCATCATCCACATCAGCACTACGCCCACCATGGAGTTCCCTTTTGACCAGTACCAGTCCAGTGGCAGCCTGCAACAAGCCATCCGGGACACCCGGCAGCTCATGGGTGACACCAACACGGGCAAAGCCCTCTCCTTTGCCAAGGAGAAGTTCTTCAGTGCTGAAGCTGGTGCCCGACCAGATGTGCCCAAGGTGCTGGTTTGGGTGACAGATGGTTTCTCCACTGATGACATCTCGGAGCCCATGCAGCTCCTGAAGGACATGGGAGTGACAGTCTTCATTGTCAGCACGGGGCGGGGGAGCTACCTGGAGCTCTCTGCTGCTGCCAGCCAACCCCCTGAGAAGCACCTGCACTTTGTGGATGTGGACGACCTGCCCATCATCACAGAGGAGCTCCGAGGTGCTATCCTAGGTACAGTGGGGCTGGGGGGTTGCAGCAGGGCTGGATGGGGCTTCTCAGGGGGTTGGCTGCTCAGCTGGCTTCTCAGGGGGTTGGCTGCTCTCTGCTCAGCTGGTGTGAGAATCCCCCAGAATGGATGGTCCTGCTGACCCACAGCTGCTGCCTTCACACGATGAGGCACTTTGTTCACAATCCTGCAGGTCCAAGTATAAACCCAGGCTTTTAAAGCAGCAGGGACAGGCAGCAGGGACAGGCAGCAGGGACAGGCAGCAGCAGCTCTGATTTTCTTCAAGCATCCAGGCAAGGGTCTGAGGAGCCCCAAAGCTGCCATCTGAACCAGGAGACAGGCATTTGGAGGCCAAGAGGAATGTCTCAGGCTAATCTGCCTGCCCCCCAAGGTGTCCTTTTGGCAGCCCCCGGTGCCAACGCGGTGGGAGTTGCAGAGCAGGGGGTTGGCTCCAGCCTCCCAGATGCCTCTGGATTTGTTTGGGAAGCTGAGGGAGTTCCTAGGACTTTGCAGACTTTCCATTTGTTTTCTGGAGGTTCTCTCTCCACTGGAAATCCTGCTTTAATTCTCCATTTGGCTTCTGTTGTGCTGGGTGGTTTGAGCTGCCTTCGGAATGTCTGTGTAACCCTTTCCACAGAATCCTCTGGATCCTGCAATTTCTTCCTCTTTCCAGCTGTGGTCTCTGAAAAAAACACACACAGGGACCATGTTGTCTTCCACCCCTCTCCTGTTGGAGCACAGGGCAGTCCCAAGAGGCCTTCTGCTCTACCAGGCACCACACAACCCCCCAGATGGTTCATTCCAAGAGGCTGTTGCAGCTTCTAGTGCATCCTGAATCCAGCTGGGATAAAATAGCTTCCCAAAATGAGAAGTCACCTGCATATCCTTGCAGCACAAGATTGTCTTGAAGATCACAAGATCTGCAGAGGTCAAACACACTCTGCTGTGCCTGAGGGCAGGATTCTGTGCATCCACCAGGTCTTAAAGTTTCTAGTGGAAGGTGAGATTCCCACATGAATCCAGGTGCTGGTGCTTTAAGCTAAAACCACATGTTGGGAACATCACCTGAGTCATCCTTAATAAAGCCACACGTGTCCACTTTTCCCTGGGTGGAGAAGGCAGCTCTCAGCACCACCCTCCCTGCTTCTGGCCCCTGGGAGAGCAGGGACAGACAGGATCCTTGGCAGGCAGAAATTTCCCCTTTCCAACTCTGGAAAGGCTCAGACTAGTTTCATTATCACTGCTATCTTATCTTCATCTCTTGCTACTGCTTTTTAAAAGCCTTTTGTAGGTGCACAAAGGAGCTTTGTCAAGAATTGTCTCCTCCCTCCTCCTGTTCTGGAATGGGGTGTTTCATTCCTGTTCCAGAGACCCAGTCCCTGGTTACCAAGTTGCTGTTGTCTCAGGTGGGCTGAGAACCCTCCATGGAACGGTTCAATCTCACAGCTGGACTCCAGCTCAAGCTTCTTCCATTGTATCTTATTTATTATTGCTTCATAGATGGTCTTTGGTGCTGTCCCTCTGGGGAAGGACCTGGGAGTGCTGTGAAAACAAGAGATTCCTTTGAGATGACACCAGGTTCTGTGCTTGCATCCACTTGCTCTCTGCTCAGCCTGTGGAACTGGCAGCTCTGACTTGTTTCATGCTTTGGCACCATCTCCTGAGCCAAGTTCTGCAGGAGCCCACCTGCCCAGCAGCCACAAAACATCAGCCACTTCCCAGGGGCTAATACAGGAGATGAACTTGCTGCTTCCCCCTGGGAACAAGGAGGGGCTGAGAAGCACAGCGTGGGCATCTATTTTCCAGGGCTTATTGCCCTCTTTCCATGCCCAAGGCATCTGCAACCTGGCACCAGGAGGCAGAGCCCTTTGCTGGGGCTCCTTGCAGCAGGTCCCTCAGGTGCTGCCTCCTGGCACTTCCCTCTGCCCCATTTCATCCCAGTGTCCCTGGTTCCTGCCCCCAGGCTCACTTCTTCCCATGCACTGAGCTTCTGGTAGGGCTTTTTGGTGCTTTAAGCTTTCCTCTGTCCCCTGTTCCTTCCTTGGTAGCCACGAGGCTTGCAGAAGAGCAGCCCTCCACCCTCTGCCCTCCAAGCTCCAAGGGGCTGCAGAGATCCTGGCTGGCAGCCTGTGTGGATGGGAGTGGGAAGGGCACAGAGGAGGGAAACATTCCTGGCCCCCAGGGAGAGCCAAAGGACAGCTCAGAGGGAAAACTGAGCCTGCTGAATTCGGGTGGGGGAAGCTCCCAAGGTTCCAGGCAGAGCAAACGCACATCTCTAGGCATCAGGGTGCTGTGCATCATCTTTTGATTTCTAATAAAAAGAGCATCTTTATGCCTTTGTCTGCCACTTCCCTAGAGCTAGAAACAAAGTCCTGTGTGTTCCCAGCCCTCTGGAGGAGCAGAGAGCAGTGGGATCCTGCCCCACATGGGCTCAGGAGACCACACGTGTCGGAAGGGTCAAGTCGGAAGGCGGGGGAGCCCGAGGAGGTCTTGGTGGCTGACCCTTGGGGCCTGGGACTCAAAGGTAGCAGAGCCTTGAAGAGGAGCCTCTGTGCAGGGGGAGAGGGAGGCGAGATGGCACAAGAGTGGGTCTGAGTGCTGAATGTCACAGGACAATGGGGCTCTGTGGAACGCGGCGGGAGTGACTTCAGCCGGGATGAACGCGGCGAGCGCTGCCGGATCCCCAGCTGCTGCCCCTCCTTCCTGGCCACTGGGTGCAGGCAGACAGCAGGGAGAAAGGTCTTTCTTCACCCCCTGGGCTGCTTCACACGCATGACAAAACGTAGTGGTTTGGTTTCCCTGGTAGGTGCTTTCCACAGGGAACCCAGGACGAGCTGACCCCAGGAGTCCCCAGACCTGGATGCCCAGGTTCTGTATCCAGGCACAGGCAGTGCCACTTGCTCCTGCCACCTCAAGCAGGTGGTGATGTCTTGCTGAGTGTGGGACCTGCCTGTTTGGCCAGGCATGGTAACCCCCACACAGCTGTTGGGCTGCAGCAGCTGCCCAGAACTTGCTGGACTGCTCCAGATTAATTCTTGGTGGCACAGGGCAGGCGTGGGTGGGCAGGGCCATGGTCCCTCCTGTGCCTCTGTCACAGCAGGTCACAGCAGCATTCGGCCTGAGGACAAGGCAGAGCATGGGAAGGGAAAGCCAGGGCTTTGTAGAGCAGCTTGAAGGCTTGTGGCAAACTGGCTTGAGGCTGGAGATGCCCAGGGACAAGGTGGAGTGGTGTGTTTGAGCTGAAGCCTCTTGTGCCCAGACACACCTGGGCAATGGTCCCAAAACACCAGCTGGGACACACACATTTCCTTTGCTCAGTGAAAGGGTCTTGTCTGAGAGGCAGGAGAGCTGGGAAAGCCCAAATATTGCTGCCTGCACTGACTTGTGGTTTCTTTTCAGCTTTATGCTTGGCCTCAAGGTCTTGAGTTTTCTGCTTCTGAACCTTCCCAGGAGGGTCTGGCTCATGGAGCTGCTGTGAAGGGGCTCAGCTGCACCTCGGTGTCCCCAGCTGTCACCCAGGGCTGCTGCAGCCTCCATCTCCCACCTGAAGGGCCTGTATTCCAGGAGGGCCTGTATTCCAGGAGGGCCTGTATTCCAGACAGGCCACGTGCTGAGTGTTGATGCCAGCAATGATTTCTTGCTCCTGTTCCTCTTCCAGACGTTATCCAAGCAAATCGGCTCCACGCAGTGGATGTCACCTCAAGCAGCTTCCAGCTGGTGTGGCCCAAGCTCCTCTCCCAAGAGACTGGCTACTACACCCTCGAGTATGCCCCGGCAGCTGACCTAGCAAGGAAGAGGACAAAGCAGGTGTCTGGGGCTCACACCAGCTTTGTGCTCAGCAACCTGGCACCAGAAACTACTTACGAGGTGGCTCTCATTCCTGAATCCAACGTCCACTACTTCCCTCCCCAGACCACAAGGGTCACTACCTTGGCAGGTGAGACACACCCAGACATGACCAAGGGGTTCTCCACGGTGCTGAGCTTCATGTTCTTGAATTACATGCTCATTCACACCTTTTTTCTGTTGCTTGCAGAGGAGATAAGCCCAGCTCAGGTTCTCATCTCGGAGTCTGGGCCCCACAGCTTCCATGTCAGTTGGGCTCCTCTGCTGGAGAGTGTGATGGGCTATCAGGTCCTGTATGGACCCCTCCCTGGGAATTCAGTGGAGCTGCTGCAGGTGGATGGGGAGCACAACGGCACTTTGGTGGAGAACCTGGCACCCAACACAACCTACCTGGTGACAGTGACTGCCATCTACAAGTCAGGGATGGAGAAATCCCTGTCGGCCAAAGCCTGCACTCAGGAAGGTGAGGAGCTGCTGGGAAGCTCTGAGGGCACGAGGGGCCTCTGAAGGGAACCTGGTTCTCTGCACACATCATCTGCCCCTGGGTGAAGGCAGAGGACTTGGTCAGCCCGGGCACTGGGAAGGGATGAGAGGAGGGCAGAGCTGAGGGTCTGGTGAGCAGCACATCAGGGTCACCAGGTCTGGGAGGCACCTGAAGGACAACCAGACACAGGGAGTCTGACTGTGCAGAACAGGCCTGGAGGTCCCTGCAACTCCCCCAGGAAGAAAGGAGACTCCTTTTCCCTCCTGTCTCCTCAGGTCAGGGCTTGGGTGTGATTTAGCATCAGAGGGGTGGGAATGTCACCAGCAGCAGCTTCTGCCCTGCAGAGGTGCCTGTAGAGCTACTGCAGGGAACAAACCCAAGCTCTGAGCAGGACTTGGGAGTGAGGAGCTCTGGGAATGGCAGCAGCTTGAGGGGGTGAGGGGTGGGCAGAGCCTGACAGGGCCAGCAAAACCATTTTGTGCAGGCAGCAGGACCAGTGAAGGAGTAACCAGGCCGAGCTGCTCCTGTGGGATGAGGGGCTGTGGGATGAGGGGCCGGGGGATGAGGGGCTGTGGGATGAGGGGCCGTGGGATGAGGGGCTGTGGGATGAGAGGCCGTGGGATGAGGGGCTGTG